AACATATGCGTTATATATAGTATAGCAAAGATGTTATATGCACAATTTTTTGGCGTGCTAGCGAGTGTGTGAGCGAGCCAGCGGGCGTGAGTGTGTAGGCTTTATTTTGGCATGAATGTTTCGTATGTTACGAACATTATAAGGTTTGAATGACAATTAATGCGGATGTTACAAATGTTATAGTAACTGGTCATTACTATCATTCAAAGTCCTGCTTGGGGCCTCAGCTCACTAGAACCCCTATATAAAGAGCCTCCTTTGACCATCTGAAAAACACCAAAAATCAAACTCTTCACTTGATTTTCTTCTACAATTCTCTGATTTTGTTCTTTAACTATTGGTTTTGAAGACTCCGGTGAAGTGAAGTGGTAGTTGAGGTGTTCAGCAGAAAGAGCGCTTTTTTAGACTGCAGTCATCCCATCCTCAAAAGTATTGTGCAGACTCAACGTTGTCGTAGGTGGGGCATAATTTCTTCAAAGCCAGTCTTCTATTCAGATGATGATGATTCGGCATCTATGTAAAGTATTTCTTCTTTACGCTCAATACATTGGTATTCTTATTTACTTTCTGCTCTACGTCTTTCCTATGTGGTTTGTTCTATTTCTTTGTATCCTTAATGTTGGATCTGTTCTTATCTCTCTTTTCCATACATGTACTAGGAATTATGTCAAAAATGAAACATTTGTTCGCATATGTGCAAGCTATGTTTTTTATTTTTACTAGTTTTTATGCACGTGCATTGCACGTGGTTTAATATCAAAATAATTTATTTCTTATTTTATTACTATAAATAAGTCAGATTTATTTTAATTATTAGATTTGTTATAATTTTTATTTAAAAATTATAAAAAATTAATGTAATAGATTTTTGTGCTAAACTGGGATCAATATACTTAACTGGGATATCATAATTGATTTCCGCAGAAAAAAATATCAGCTGACATAATAATATCTTCAAGCAGAATAATAAAAGAAAATAAATTAAATTAATACTATATGTCATATTCTAAACTATACTAATCCTAAGCTATAGTATGGAGCCAAGGATGAATAACAATATCATTATGAACCATAGTTCTAGCAATAAAAAAATAATATTTCTTATTGCATTGAAAATAGAATTACACTGTACGTTTCAACGTTATATAAGCTCATGTTTTATAATAAACAATCTCAAAAGCATACGATATATATATATTATATATATAATTATATATTATATATATATATATTATATTAATATAATATATATTTATATATTATATATATGAGGAATATGGGTATGCTTGGTACCAAGTACAAAAATTTGTGCTTGGTAGTGAGGTGGCATATTATCCTCCACTCATTTAAATGGGGGATCACATTCACATGGGTAGAATGTGGCCCCCAATTGAATGAGTGGATGGGAATGAGACACATCACTACCAAGCACAAAATTGTGCTTGGTACCAAGCATACCCATTTCTCTCTCTCTCTCTCTCTCTCTCTCTCTCTCTCTCTCTCTCTCTCTCCTCTCTCTCTCTCTTCTCTCTACTATATTATACTATATATAGTAGTATTATTCAATGAAATAGTATATAAAAACCATATATATATATATATATATATATGAGATCTCAGCCTACATTATTTGATAGACTTAAAATAATAAAAAGACAAAACTAAAGTTTAATGTTAACTACAGTATAATTTTATGTGATAAAAGCAATCACATAAGCATGCAAAAATACTAAAAATTTTGCATGAAAGTTCATTCTAAAAATTCCTAATTTTACTCAAAAACTAAGTTATAGTATAAAATATTCAAAAAATATTATTATTTATTCTTTTTATTTTATGTTTTAATTGAGTCGAGATCAATCTTTCTCCACATTTATCTTTTTCTTGGGCAATTCTAGAGTAGCGTCTTCATCATCTATATCAATTGTGATATCAGGTTGGAGTTGAATTTTTGAAATTAATCTCTTCAAATAATAAAGTCCAACACCAAAATCAACCTAATTGTCTTCTACCCTATCCTCAAAAATCATAAACCTAATCCATAAAATAGGTTTGTACATAATAAAGAACAATAGACAATGTCAAGAGACAAAAAATAAAAAAGAAAGAATTGAATAAGAATCGCTAGGTTTGTACATGATAAAGAGCAAAAGACAATATAAGAGTCCATAAATATATTCGGATACACTTGGATCAATTAAATTATATTATTACTCATAATTGATATGCATAAGAGACAAAATGTGTTGACAATCTTAAACTATAAAACAGACTGTATGGGCCCTCTAACATAATTTTTAATGCAAGCAACCCCCAAGTTTAATTTTGAAAATCTCTTGATTTTGCGGAAGAGTTTGAGTGTAAAGAACAAATGTTAAATTATCTAATCTGATTAAAGTAGGATCATATAAGTTAACCACATACATAAAATTTATTTTAACAAAAACTCATATATAAGTATTATAATTGGCATTAAGATTAAAGAACGTGTGAGATTCTCTTTGACTTTTATACAAACAGTATCTATTTAGATAATAATAGTATAATTAAACTTTGTGATCTGAAAAGAAATCAAACATACAATATAATTAATTACTTTAAAATAATCTAATCTAATCTAATAAGAAAAAAATAGATGAAAGTACTGTAAAAATTGTTATAATTTTATAATTCATAACTCTTAAACAATCTAATCTATTCTAATAAGAAGAAAATAATAAAGACACATACTTGTTGAAGGAGATAAAAGTACTTTGAAAGCTATTGTAATTTCTTGATCTGAAAAAGATCAGATATACAATATAATTAATTGATTTAAAATAATCTAATCTAATCTAATAGCAAAGGCACATGCCTGTAAAAGAAGATAAAAGTGCTATAGAAATTATTGTAATTTCTTGGCTTATATATATTGGTATATGATGTTGCATATGAGAGGATAACAATTGTAAATAAAGTTCTATTTAAATAATAAAAATATAATTAAATTTTGAAACTAACTATGCAGTACTTTGAACTACTTTAATTTTAGTCGGTGAGAGATCGCCACTTTGTTTGTAATTATTAATCATATAGCATGTGAATAATCATTTGCAGATTTGCATTATTATTCATGTATAGCACGTGAGTAATTGTTTACGGTTTGATCATTGATCACATATAAGAGCGAGGGGGTAAATTTGGTATTTACTAAATCGTCTAATTAACCTAAGCGTATTATGAACTACTTGAATTTTAGTTGGTGAGAGATCGTCACGTTGTGTGTCGTCTAATTAACCTAAGCGTATTATGAACTACTTGAATTTTAGTTGGTGAGAGATCGTCACGTTGTGTGTAATTATTAATCATATAACATGTGATTGGTGAGAGATCGTCACGTTGTGTGTAATTATTAATCATATAACATGTGAATAATTGTTCTCACTTTGACATTATTAATCATGTAGCACATGAATAATTGTTTGCAATTTGATCATTGATCACATATTAGAGCGAGGGGATAAATTTGGTATTTAATAAATCGTCTAATTTACTTAAGTTTTTCATTTAGGTTTACATTTCAATTTAAACCATATCCTTATCTTCATACTATGTATTTCCAATAAGGATTCATCAATTTATCAAGTTACTCTTACTTAATGGATTAGTATTTAAATTCCAAGGGTGTTTTTGTCTACTAAAAGATTTTTCCGAACTCGTGCTTTTAAAGGGAGTATGATATCCATATCCACACATCAATATAATTTTGAGTAATTATCTATAAGATAATAGACAAGATAGCTATAGGTTGAAATAAATATCATTTCAATTGCTTGGGGAGGATTTATAATTCGTAGTCTACGTACATAATAAAGATTGTTAAACGTCACAACTTACACCGTACTTATCGCATGTAGCGGCTTATTTGACTTCGCCATGCTATCAAGTATGAAAAGAATCACAACCAAAATTAGAAAACAAAAACAAATTGCTACTAAACAATTTCAAGCGACTAAAAAATGTGCGAAAACAGATCTCACCTCTATTGAAAAGCTTCTGATTAAATAATAAGGTCTCATGAGCCATGTGTCCTAGAGAGAAGATATTAGGTAAAAAGAAAAGTTTGGACGGTTATTAGATAAGCCCCCATTTCTCTCAAAATATTATGAAATATCCTTTAAGTATTGGGGTATCAACTTGTCAAAAAAACCCTTCAACTTTCAATGTTTTCAAAGAAAAAACCTAAATGTGTGAACTACAATTTTTACTAGCAAAAATATATGCATGCATAATTTTACATACTCATGTAAAAATTGTACTTAACATTGTTCAAGTGTTTTCATGAATAATCATATAGTTGAAGGAGTTTTTTTTATAAACTAATGATTCGACAAATTTCAGGGGTGTTTTATGAAATTTGGCCTTAAGAATGCAAACATGTGGGCGGCAAAAAAATTAAAGAGGTCTGTACTTGGCCCGGTACCTTCTCATAAAATGAGTTTGATACCTCCTGCTTTCCTTAAGACCATCTCCAATGGCAAGGCAAATATTGCCTTTCTCTCTCCTTCCACCTCACTTTATTCTCTCTCCACATCACTTGCCTTTTCCAATTGTCTTTCAACTCCACAACAACTAGTTTTTCAAAAGTTTTTCACTTTATCTTTCCTCCACATCACTCAACCATATACCCCACCATATTTATTCATCCTATTATTCTTATTTTTTATACATTTTAATCGTTATTATATTTACTAATATATTTACAATTATAAAATTTAATTTTTATTATGTAATAAATAATATGTATTTTTTAATAATTTATAATTTTCAAAAAACTTAATTTTAAATGCAATAAATAATATATTAATTTTATAAAAGAAAACAACACACACTATTATTAATGTAGTGGTAAACCAAACATACATAATTTATTGAAAACGTACAAGAAAAAACACACCAAACATACACAGTTTATTGAAACATGCAAGAAAACACACACCAAACATTGAAAGTTTTTGACATTTCTATTCGAAGGTTGCTCCAAATTTTTGCCAAATGTGCTCGACGAGATCCTTTTTCAACTGAATGTGTTTGGCCCTATCACGTAGATCGGCTCTAGTATGAATATCCGATTCGGCTCGGGCTTGAACGTGCACTTCAAATTGTGGCAACACTTGTGTTTGGACATTGAAAGAGGAGCTAGAGCTAGCACTAGCATTGTTCGATGGTTCGAAGTCAATATTTTCCCAGTTTCGCAAATATGTATCTCGTTCATCCTCGACTATCATGTTATGTAAAATAATGCAAGCCCTCATTATTTTACCTAAGACCTCAATGTCCCACATTCTAGCGGGCTGGCGAATAATAGCAAATCGTGCTTGGAGAACCCCAAATGCGCGTTCCACATCCTTCCTACATGATTCTTGTTGTTTGGCAAACAACTGCGCTTTGTTGCCTTGGGGCAATTGAATTGATTGGACAAAGACAGGCCATTTCGGATATATTCCATCTGCAAGATAGTAAGCACGATTGTATTGTCGCCCATTGACAATGAAATTCACCTCCGGGGCTTCACCGGACTCAATATCGTCAAATACCGGTGACCTATCTAGTACATTAATGTCGTTCAATGTACCTGGCAAACCAAAAAAAGCATGCCATATCCATAAATCAAAAGATGCCACTGCCTCAAGGATAACTGTTGCCGTCCCCTTGTGTCCACTAGTAAACTGCCCTTGCCAAGCCTTAGGACAATTCTTCCATTGCCAGTGCATGCAGTCGATACTTCCAATCATTCCGGGGAAACCACGCTCCTGACCAACTTGGAGTAACCTCTGCACGTCTTCCACATTTGGACGTCTTAAGTATTCATCTTGAAACAAAGCAATTACCCCATCGCAAAAATTGCGAGTGCACTCAATTGTGGTGGATTCTCCAATCTTCACATACTCATCACATGCATCTGCGGCGACTCCGTATGCAAGCATGCGGATGGCAGCTGTACACTTTTGGATAGGTGACAAGCCCAATTTTTTTGAATTATCACGCCTTAGAGTGAAGTAGTTGTCATAATTTGATAATGCGTCTACAATTCGTAGAAACAATGACCTTTTCATTCGATATCTTCGGCGAAACTGCATGTCGGAGTAAGTGCATGACTCGTCGAAGTAGTCGGCCATGAGCCTTTGATGGGCTGCTCCATGATCCCTATGCAGATATTTTTTTTTTGTGTGGTCGTTCGTTTCTATGTTGTAACTCTTCAAGAAGTTGTTGTTGCCTATCGAGTATGGAATTTTCCAACTCCCATTGTCGTTGGACCTCTTCAAGGTTAACCATATTTGGGGGTAGATCCATTGGATGATAATTAGAGGAAAGTATGAAGTAAAATGCTTTGGTTGATATTCATATGATGTGCACTACCAGATTTATAGTGAATGAGCTCCGGATTCCATTCAATTTAGTTAACTAAATTGAATATGAAGATAAGATATTGAGTAGTCATAGTCTTGTCTGAGCTAGTGGGTTGATTATTGATTTTGGAGTGTAATGCAGTGAGTAGTCATAGTCTTGTCTGAGCTAGTGGGTTGATTATTGATTTTGGAGTGTAATGCAGTGAGTAGTCAGAGTCTTGTCAGAGTTGGTGGGTTGATTATTGATTTTTGGAGTGTAATGCAGTGAGTAGTCATAGTCTTGTCAGAGCTGGTGGGTTGATTATTGATTTTGGAGTGTAATGCAGTGAGTAGTCATAGTCTTGTCAGAGCTGGTGGGTTGATTATTGATTTTGGAGTGTAATGCAGTGAGTAGTCATAGTCTTGTCAGAGCTGGTGGGTTGATTATTGATTTTGGAGTGTAATGCAGTGAGTAGTCATAGTCTTGTCAGAGCTGGTGGGTTGATTATTGATTTTGGAGTGTAATGCAGTGAGTAGTCATAGTCTTGTCAGAGCTGGTGGGTTGATTATTGATTTTGGAGTGTAATGCAGTGAGTAGTCATAGTCTTGTCAGAGCTGGTGGGTTGATTATTGATTTTGGAGTGTAATGCAGTGAGTAGTCATAGTCTTGTCTGAGCTAGTGGGTTGATTATTGATTTTGGAGTGTAATGCAGTGAGTAGTCATAGTCTTGTCTGAGCTAGTGGGTTGATTATTGATTTTGGAGTGTAATGCAGTGAGTAGTCATAGTCTTGTCTGAGCTAGTGGGTTGATTATTGATTTTGGAGTGTAATGCAGTGAGTAGTCATAGTCTTGTCTGAGCTAGTGGGTTGATTATTGATTTTGGAGTGTAATGCAGTGAGTAGTCATAGTCTTGTCTTGTTGAGGTCACGAAAATGACTTTGACATTTTACAATGTTCCTCTGTATCCCACGATCGGAGTTCTCATTCACGTAATCAGAGATTTTGCCCCAAAAAGTATCACCCTTTTGATTTGAACCCAATTCACTGTCAGTACTGTAGTGGAAATAACCAGTTAATAACAACTTGTTCTCTTCAAAAGTCCAACTGGCGTAATTTCCTTTCTTCGCTGATTGTTGGGTTGGAGCTTCAAAACTGTGGGGAGTATCCCCACCAAGTTCTCCCAGAGAGATTTGTGTAGAAAATTGTGGGATATCAGTGGATCCACTACTAAAGCGAGGTGTGTTTGGCTCACTAGTCGGTTCAATGTTTGGAAAATTGACATGAGATGGAAGAGAGCTGTTTCCAGGAACTGGTTGATAGCCATATGGCATATAAGGATGATTATACGGGTATTGCATTCCATAAATTGGTGGCATCATATTAGGATTTTGATAGCCATATGGCATGTAAGGATGATTTTCAGGCCGTTGTGTATTTGGATTTTGAGGTTGCATATTCGGATTTTGAGATTGGTTTGGATAGTTGTAATTTGGGAGAAAGTTTAAGTTAACTGAAGGATCCATGAAGGATGTTGAAGATGGAAGAAGAAGAAAAAAATGAGAGGGTGAGAATGTGGAAGTTGGTGATATAAGGAATGAAGTGAGTAAAAACTTGGTTTTTTTTTTTGGTGTCCAAATAACATAAACTCAAGCTCTATTTATAGACCTTGAAAAATAAAAAATAAGGGTGAAAAAAATAATTAATTTAGAGCAATTATTGATATAAAAAAAGTCATTTAAATAATGGAAGAAAGAAAAACAAAAGAAAAACAAAAAAAACAAAAGACATTCTCTTTTGTGATGGACACGCGCCTGTGTCCATCTGCAGGCCCAGTTTCGCTGACGTGGCGCAAGGAGAATGGATGGAGCATTTTTTTTGTTTTTTTTTAATTGCAGCTGCTGACAAGCCGTATCCTTGGAGAAAATTAACCGGTAGGCAAATTTTGCCTTTTTGCCTTTTCTCTCTCCAACTTTTCATTTGCCTACCCAATTGTTACCCATTGCACCAAAAAACATACCCAATTGTTAGCCATTGGAGATGGTCTAACTAGTGTAGGCATTTTCTCTCTCTCTCTCCCTCTCTCTCTCTCTCTCTCCACGTCAGTTAATTATGTTCCCAAAAAAAATCTGTTTCAGTTGATTATTTAAAAAAAAAGTCAATATAGGACTAATATATTCACACATGAAATTTCAAAGAATGGGAAATCAAAGAATAGAAAACCTATTTCCTAAAATAATTGTTTTGAGGTTATTTGGTTGGTTTAAAAAAGAAGGAAATTATAAAATAGGAGATGAGATGAGATGAGTTGTCACCTTATTATTGGATGATGTGAGTGATTTTTTTAAAAAAATTGTTTTGAGGTTGTTTGGTTGGTTAAAAAGATAAGGAAATGAATTGGTGGTATATTATTGGATGATGTTTCGAGGTTGTTTGTGTTTGGTTCGTTTTTAAAAATAAAAAAATAGATGAGATGAGATGAGTTGGAGGTATATTATTGGATGATGTGACACATACTTAAAGAAATCAATTTTTTTTTTTTGAGGAAATGGATGGAAAGGAAGGTTTGATGAGATGAGATGAGTTGTCACAATATTATTGGATGATGTGTGTGATTTTTAAAAATGAGATAAGATGAGATGTGATGAGTTGGATGATGTGACACATCTCTTATGTTTGGTTTATTTTTAAAGATAAGAAAGAAGATGAAAGAAGATGAGTTGGATGATAAAAATAATATTTTATTGGATGTTATGGGTGAGTTTTAGGGATGGAAATGGATAAAAATATTATTTTATTGATTTTCTTGTACCGGTTTCCTTTTCTTTGATTTTAGGAAACCAACCAAACGGGCCCTAACTTTTTTTATGTTTTTCCTCATTTTATCATGAATCCTCTTGTGCAAATCACACCTCTCAAAGAAAAAAGTCTGTTTTTTTCGTTTGATCTGGAATGTTAGGTTATAGATAGAATTATTTGGTTTCTCTATATAGTCTTCTATTGTTACAAACTAAGAAGTAAGAGAAGAGGAACATTATTGTTGTAATCTAGGTTTAACAGATGGTATAACCGCGTTTAAGAGTAGTCTAAGAGAGGAAAATGTTTCTTAGTCTCCGTCTGTCCAAATGATTGTAACTTTGTTGATGACAGCGAATTAATTTTGATCATGTGATTTTCCCTATTAATTATTTTCCATATAAAATTCTTATGTGTGACTTCTTTACTACTTATTTTATTTTTGAAAAAATTGTGTCAAGGCTCCAAAATCTTAAAAAATGTGATTCAGCCCTTATTCCCTGTTAACTAAGCATAGAAAGAGAAAAAAAAATCTCAATATACCCTTATCCCCTTCACCCCCCCCCCTCCTCTCAATGATCCTAATCTCCATCCCTCTTCTTCATCCTCCTTTCTCAGTCCTCTTTCTCAACCTAAACCTTCCTCCTCTCTCCCTCTCCTTCTTTTTCCATCAGACACTCGACTCCCCCTCCTCTACCTACCGACAATTAGATGCACACTCTGTCTATATAA